TTGATAGTCATGTTAGGAGGAAGAAATTCATGATGAATGAGTCCATCGCAATCGAAGAAAGTGATTAACATGACCTTGATTTTGGACTTTTCAAATCAAAATTTTTTCTGCCTTGGTGAACTTGGAAACTGCCATTCCGAGCGTTGACGCTTGGTTTCAGAGTCATATTTATAACACCAAGACTCGTCTCCCATGACTATCCTATCCACATACCTGCCAACTTTTACGAATTTTTCGTAATTTTTACGTAAATGCGTTTGTCTTTACGATTTTACGATCGTAATCCATTTTTTTACGATTTTTTTCCTTTTTCAAGTGTTTTTAGTGATTTCTGTCGATATTTTAGAATTTTTCGCCAATTCAGCGATTTTTGCCAATTGCATCGTGTTTTACCGCCAACTACCAACTACTTCGAATCCAGTAACCTGCGGTTTCTCCCAACTCGCCGCTTAACCAGCCAATCCAATGCGCTGAACTTGTTTCTCCCACTCTTTTCTTTGTGGGCGCCAGATTATTTTTTTCGCGTTCGCTTCAGCAGCAAGGGAATTACTCAGCGAGCATGGATTGTCGCATTCTGTTTTTTTTTTTTTTTTTTTTTTTTCCACGTGCTACGAATTTTTTTAATACGTCGTTGTTACGAAATGAGTTAAAAAAAAACGTATTCTCAATATTTTCGGCCTGCCTACAAAGCCGAATTTCCAACAATTAAAGAATCCTTCAAAGGAAATAACTATGCATTTTGCAACGTGTGCATGTGTGACTTCATAATAAGTCATGGTGGAAGAAGCGACGTTATGAAACATGAAGTTAATGCTTCGGCTTCGACAACGTCAAAGAAAGTGGATGATTTTTTTTTCAAATTCAGCTACGAATTCGGATGCCGATGTCATTTTGGCAGAGTGTTTGTTTACTGCATTCCTCATCGAACACAGCGTGCCGCTAAGCGCTGCCGATCACGCCGGTGAACTTTTCAGACGGATGTTTCCCGACTCCAAGATTGCTCAGAAATATGCTTGTGCTTGCACGAAAACATCTTCTATTGTGAACGAAATTGCTTGCGATGCACAAAGTAAAACGATAGCTGCACTCCAGAATTCAGCATTTTCGGTGTCAATCGATGGCAGCAACGACAGCGATTGGAAGCTTTACCCCATCGTTGTCACATATTTCTGTGATGTTTCTAATGAAATGAAAACTCATCTTTTGCATCTTCCATTGTTAAATGGAGACGCTACGGGGAAAATATTGCCTCCTTGGTAATTAATGAGTTGAAACAACTTAACATCCCAATATCAAACTGCATTTCATTTGGTGCTGCAGATAATGCTCATGTCATGGTGGGTGACAAAAAGGGTGTAGCCTCTTTCCTCAAAAAAGAACAAAATGAATTAATTGTTATTGGATGCCCATGCCACTTAATTAATTTGGCAGCAGCAGAAAAGGCTGCAGCTGCTTTACCATTAAATATTGACCAGCTTCTGATTGATGTGTTTTTCTATCTGGAAAAAAGTGTAAAAAGGAAAGAAAACCTAAAGAATTTCCAAGAACTGTGCTCTGGTGAAACGAGAAAAATTCTGAAACATGTATGCACGAGATGGTTATCCTTAGGCAGAGCGCTAGGAAGGTTTATTGAACAGTGGGATGCATTGCTAAAATATTTCCACGAAGAGACCAAAACGAAACCACAGATCCCATCAAATTTGTCGGCATATAAGATTCCGAAAAACCAACTTTGCTTCTAATCAAAATGCTTTAAAAGGGAAAAGCCAACACACAGAATCAAACCCTTTAAAAAGAAAATGCTTAGAAGACTCCGAAGGGAAGAAGAAACAGTCTTCTATTAGCCGAGAGGAAAGGATTTTCTATCTTCTTTCTTCGGATTTGAACAAAGCATATTGTAGTTTTGTGTTAAGTACCATTAAGATTTTTGAAAGTGTAAATACCCTTCTACAATCAGCTTCGCCAAAATCCTCCCTGCTTATCCAAATTCTTAATGATCTTTTGAAAGAACTTTATACTAAGTTTGTAAAACCGTCCGTTGTGAAAAACAGTGTGTTGATTTCGTGTTGCCTATAATAGTTTGGCAAATCAAAAGGATGACAATGATCTTATAATTGGAAATCAAACCAGGGAACTTGTAAATTCTTTGAAAGATCATGAGAAAAAAGAATTTTTTCAATGTGTTAGAAAGTACTTTTTCCTCAGCCTGTGATTACATTGTAAGGAAGTTTCCTTTGCAAAATGAAGTTCTTTTAAATGCTGAAGTGGCAAATTTGAAACAAATTGAAAATTCATCTTTTGAAAAGATTCATTTTTTTATTGATAAATTTCCATTTTTGTTAACAATTAAAGAAAATGAATGCCATGAATGCCATAATGATGCTTTAGATGAACTACAGAACCATTTTTCTGCTGCACAGTTTGAAGACTTTGCCAGTTCTGGAGAAGATAGACTTGATGTCCTCGTTGGTCCCTTAAAAAGAATAAAAAGAGCTGATGGAACACCAAAATATGATAGACTAGCAAGAGTTTTATATGTGCTATTCTCGTAATTCCACACAGTAATGCTGAGTGCGAGAGAGAGAGTCTTCAGTGTTGTGAAGAAAAAAACAAAACTGTTTCGTTCTTCAATTTCACCAAAAACTCTAGAAAACATTTTAATTGCTAAATGTTATGAGGAAACTAATTGTTATGACAGGAAATTTTCCAAAGAATTTTTGGCTAAAGCCAAAAAATGCACTCTAAATTCATTGCAATAATTTTTTGTGTAATTTTAAGTTCTTGTTTTATGTTTCCTAATAATTTTTTAGTTACTACTTAATTGAGATTTACTAATGTAAGTACAATTTTCTTTTTTCTATTTGTATAAATTGTTATTTTTTTAATATCAAAGCATGATATTAATTCTTCGTGTTCTTCTGAATTTGGGAAATCTTCTGATTTTTATCTTTAGAGGTAGGTATCTATCCGGAAGCAGGGTTAGCAATTTAATTTAATTCTTTGCTCATTTCCTTCGACATAGAATATAAGAGCTACTTTTAATTGCTTTCCACGGAACCACTAAATTCAGAATGGTGCCGATTGCACTGCACATGCGCAAGAAAACCCTCTTCAATATGCAATCATTAGCGCAATCTTCCGACTTTTCATTCTCCTACAGTTACGTCAGTCCTGGAAATTAATAGCCGTACCTTGTATTAAAATTTGGGAAGCTTACTTTCGATAATAATTTATAAAACTCTAACTTTGGCATATTTAGAAACACCTGCTTGAGATGGTTGTTAGATTGCAGCTCAATTCAAGCTGCAAATCTGACGTCACTGCTTCACAATTTATACTGAAAAGCATGGTAAAAAAAATGCAAATCTGTTTGATGGCACTGAAATCTTGGAAATCTTCATTCGAACTCGAAATGCAGTTTTTTCAAGCCATCTTCGTAATTCTTAAGCTTCTCGTCATTTACTGAGGGTATTGAATTTAACCTCGGGAAATGAGACTACCTAGCTGCCAGCAAACAGATTAAGTTTTAAATTAAGATTAAATTTTTTCTAAGAGGTCTAATTTACCTATAATTAATCGTTTTCCAAATGTCTGTTCCCCGAGAAAGAGATAACACTTGTTGGCACTAGTCTACAGCTATAACTAACAAAGAACTTCTGCTCTTAACACTTTACCTATTGAAAGCTGTCTGTGCTTGCTATTTCCGTCAATTTATGTTTTGTAGAACAAAAATAGAGAAAGTAAAAAGATCAGAAGTCCTTTGAAAAAAAGGAAGATAATATTTAAAGTAGAAAAGGACATGGGATATATAATATATAAATATATATTTCTTTTAATTTGTCTCGGACCAGCAAATTAAAATTTTATCCGCGGGCCAGATAGAACCTTCCAGTGGGCCGTAGTTGGTCCATCCCTGATATAGATTGTATCAAGAATTTTGCACATATAATGAATGAAACATGTAAGAGGTAAGACAAGGTACACCCGATTTGGAACTTCTATATTTAGTTGTTTCAAAACCTATGTACAAACAGTTTGTTGTAAGCAGAGTGTTGAAAAAAGATAAATAAACATTGTTGCCCCTTAAGATAAGTTATTTTATTTCCTTCTTATTTCAGCTGTTTGTTATGTTGTAAACATGAAATTTATTTGAGAGTAAATTGATAACAAATATTCGAAGACTGCATTTTAAAAGCTCTTCACAAAGAATAAGAATGTAAAATTTAGCTGAGACTAAATTGATAACAAAAATTCAAAGACAGCATTTTAAAAGCTCTTCACAAAGAATAAAAATGTAAAATTTAACTGAGACTAAATTGATAACAAAAATTCAAAGACAGCATTTTAAAAGCTGTTCCAAAATTCAGTGAAAAAATTTCATGTGAAAGCAGCATTGCTTAAAAAAAAAAAAAAAAAAATGTGGCACCATCTATTATAAAAGTAATTAACTATAGATCGCCAGTTGGGACGATACCAGATTCCATCCACTTTTGCAGAAAATGTAATAAATGAAGTAAATTGCATTTTCTTAATTATAAGAATAGCTATAATTATTAAATGCAATTTGTTCCCAAATTTTCTTCGATGTAAATAATCAATATAGTAGTAAAGCTGGAAATTAAAAGACAAGTAAGAACAATAGAAATTGGGTATGATTGTGACTATACTCAATTTCTTGATATATAAAAAAGAAAATGTAATTAAAAATATTAGAAGAAAGGTTTGAGTGTAGATAGAGCAAATAATCAAATACTGTGGATAAAAGTATAAAAGAAAGTTTGAAATTTTCTTCTTTTTTCTGAATTCTAATATTTATACAACATTATCATGTTATTAATATACTATAAAATTAATTATATATGCTGTATGCTTTTTTAAATTTTTAAAAATGCAAATGAAAGAATGTTTTTGTTGTGGCCTAATATAGAAAAATGTCTAACATTTTAAAGAATATTAAAAGAGTATGTTTTGAATTAGCCTTGTATAATACTTTTTAATAGAATAAAAGACCAGGTGAGAGAGGTACCTGCAGTTCGTCTCCCCCAAGCAAGATTAAAAAAGTCCATACAACGCCATCAGAAAGTACTGGAATATCTCCCAAGCCCTTACGAAAATTACGACGAGTTGCATCTGCTACACAGAGTATGCAGTCATCTTGTATGGAACATTCTGCTCCTACCACAACAATAGGTGTTCTTGACAATCCCACGCCTGCTATGCTTTTGGTAATGCAGCGTAATATGGAACGCCAAATGCAGCAAACTGAACTAAGCAAAAATAGAATGAATGCTGATAGAAATGGTTGTAAAATTACAGTCAGTGAAAGCTTCAGATCCATTGCAGAAACTGTAGCAAGAAAAAAGAGTAAGTTTAATTGCATGTAATTCATTTTTGACTAAATACTTGATGGATAAACTAAAACTGGGTATTTTCTTTTTCTTTTCTTCTTTGATAAGTATATAATTGCAATTTTAATTGTTTTTAGCTTCAGATGTTTTTCATTTTTGCTTTTGGTAAGCTGCCGAGCTTAAATTTATGCGCATACTCTTGCAGATAATATCTTTGGTAAAGCTATTCTCCCACCCCAACCTCCCAATTTTTTTTTATTATTATTTTTAATTTAATTTTAAGATGATTTTTTGCATATATCTTTGTTTCACAAACAATCTAAAGACCCTAGATTTTTTTCTATTTGTGTCCATTGGATAGGGCAGGAAAAAATCTTTCAAATGACACTTAATGGAAGTTTTAATTAAATTTATGGTATTTTAGCTAATTTTTGAAAATTCAACATGACTTTTATTTATTTATTTATGTCTGAACTTAACGACCAAAGCAACTTTGGCTGCACTGGAGGATGTGTGATGTCAAACTAGCATTCTTTGGAATAGACGAGAAACACGCCAATGTGACAATTAAAATCCCAATAACAACCTTGTATTTAGCGTACATCTGTAAAAACACTCGATACATATGTACGCTAAATACAAGGTTGTTATTGCAATTTTAATTAGCATTCTTTGATTTTAGGTTGATGCGTAGAGATCCACCAGTGACTTTGTGTGTTACCCAGACTTTGAAACAAAAATTATCCCCCTGCTTTTACAAGGGGTGTGACTCTTCCTTGGATCACCTCTAGGGGTTGGGGAGATTAACGGTGTAAGGCTGCCTCGAGTAAAGCCAGGTCTGGGTGCCCCTTCCTTCCGATGCACTTGCCTTGCTGGTCAGTGTTAAAAATTGATTTTCTTAATTTTATTTTGGTACATAACACTGGGGAAGAATTTGTAACACAATACATGTTGAGTTCGATTTTTAGCTGTTTTAGAGTAAATATAGGCATGCTAATTCCAGAGTTGCCAACTCTCCCGATTTAGGCGGGAGACTCCCGATTTTCGACCTCTCTCCCGCAACCCGATTTACAATATATTTCTCCCGACTTTTTCTTATTCTCAAAATTCCTCACGATTTTTATGGAACTTGGCTTAATACTTCATTATATGAACAGAAAAAGAGTGATTGTGGACGTCTGAAAGCAGTTGAACTTTCTTGTAGATTATATCTAAAACAAAACCTTGTGAATCAGATTAGAATTTCTGCTTTGTGAGAAAGAGCATACGTATCCAGAAGCGTCGTTCTCCAATGGGCATCGAGATCCACTGCGTGTCATCTGGCATATATTAGCCAATTAGCACAAAGCAAGCTCAAGGTTGCTATTTGGATGTTCTTTAGTTACTTTGTTCATATCGTCCTGAGTTGTGTGAGTACACATGCCTTCGGGAAATAGTTTTAGAAATTATCATCTTTTGTTATGTCTGTGAGAAAGGTGAAATACTCGTATACGTTTCAAAAATCGTACACAGTTGACTTTCCTTTCATTATTTCCTGAAGGAAATGTAATAAATTTGCGATGTGTACTATCTGTCTTTGCAATTTTTCGATTTCGCATGGTGGAAGGATGGATGTTCTCAAGCACGTGCGTACACAAAAGCACAAGGACAACTTGAGTTGTTTTGAAAAAAACGAAAAATTAAATTTTTCTTCGGAAACAAAGGACCAAAATGTTATTAATGTTGAATGTCTGTTCTCTGCCTTTTTACTGGAGCACAACCTGCCACTGAATGCATCGGATCACGTTGCAGCTTTATTTAGAAAAATGTTTCCCGATGGTGAAATCACTAAGAAATACTCAAGTGCAAGGCCCAAAACAGGTGCAATTGTTAAAGAAGTGGGTTTGAAAAATGAATCTTCAGTTATTGATTGCATTAAAACAGCTCTGTTCTGCCTCTCTATGGATGGAAGCAATAATACCGATTCAAAACTGTATCCAATTTTTTTTTTTTTTTTTTTTTTTAAATCCAGAGTTTTCAGAAACTGAGTGCAGTTTACTTTCTGTCCCCACTTTAGGAGGACATTCGGCAGGCTTTAATATAGCACAGCTAATTATTAAAACTTTTTAAAAAAATGCAGTCTCTCTGGACAATTGCTTAGCACTTGGTGCCGATAATGCACCATTAATGGTAGGCTTGAAAACTGGTGTTGCAGGCATCTTAAGAAAGGAAAATTCAGATTTGCAGATTATGAGGTGCACCTGTCACCTCCTAAATTTAGCAGCTGAAAAAGGGGCAGCTTCTTTTACCAATAAATGTGGATGAACTCATTGTTGATATAGTATTATTTTGAAAGGCATTCTAAAGGGAAGGAAAATTTGAAACAATTCCAACAGCTGCATAATACTGAAATGAGAAAAATTTTGAAACATGTGTACATGCTGGCTGTCTTTAAAGAAATGCTTATCTAGAATCCTCGATCAAGAAAACCAACTTCTTGCAATTTTTTTTTTTTTTTTTTTTTTTTTTTTTTTTTACAATGCATGTAATAAAAATGTGTAAGGTATTTTTGTGTTACTTGCATTTAAGAATTAGTAACAAAAATCAGCATTATATTTTCAAAATTTTCACAGGACTAGTTTCCATGGTTTTACCGAACCACCATCCTCAGCTGCTAAACCGCAAATTAACAAGATAGAAAACAATGATTAGGTAAGATAAGAAAGCCTGGACAAGAATAAGCAAGTGGTGCCATCTGTCGGTGAAACCAGAACTAAAACATAATTTCTTTAAAGGCCGAAGGCAAAGATGGATTGGAATTAAGATCATTAACTAGAACAGAAAGATTTTTTTGAATGTGAAATGCCTCTAAAAAATCCAGTTCTCCAATGGAAGATGTTTTTTTGAATAATTTTGGCAGCAGAAAAATTGAAAGTGTGATTTTCGGACCAACAATGTTGAGCAACAGAAGACCTCTGTGTTTTCTTTTTTCTAACACATGCCTCATGTTCCTTGACGCGAAATTTTAAGGCTCTCTTAGTTTGGCCAATGTAAATTAAACCACACTGGCAAGCAATCCTATAAATACCCCAAGAATTCATATCAGGAACGGGGTCCTTGAGTATGGACCTCGGAATTTTATTGATGGGAGAATAAACAACCCGAAAGTTAAATTTCTGCAAAATATGTGCAACTTTATAGCTAATTGATGGAAAGAAGGGAATGACAACAGATTTTTATAATCTCCTAAAACAAGATTGTGCCTTTTAGTTTGTTGAGATGAGAATTTTTTAACTGCTTGATTAATAATGTTGGGTGAAAAGCTTCTGTCAATAGCTATTGCTTTTAACTAATTTAGTTCTTCATCAAGGGCTAGTTTGGAGGAGCATAACTTGAAGAGCACGGAAAACATAGGAATAAAATGAAGCTAAATTTTGTTTAGTCGGATGACATGATTTAAAGTGTGGTGGAAGGCAAACTGATGCAGGTTTACGGTAAACCGTAGTACTGAAGTTGGATGTGTTACGTGTGACTAGAATGTCGAGAAATGGAAGGTTAATGTGTGTGTGTGAATGTTATTGTCTAACAGAGTTGAAAATCTAGAAACTAAATATTTAGCTAAGGGATACGAGGCAGAACCTAAATTTGATACAATACCATAAAAAATTCAATAGAGTTTGTAAAAAAGGTTAAAAGCATTTCTCCTAGAAATTTACTCATGGTTTCTTTTGATGTAAAATCATTCACCAATGTTCCAGTGGAGGGTGCATTAAAATGTCTAGAAACCAGACTTCGCGAATACATTTCTCTTGCATCGAAATTGATGAGCTAATTTCTCTCACTCAACTCTGTTTGAAACAAACACATTTTGTTTTCCAAAATAAATATTACAAGCAAACTGAGGGATTAGCCATGGGAAGCCCCCTCAGTCCCATCCTGGCTGATATCTATATGCATTATTATGAATCAAAATTGTTTGAAACTTTAAACTTCATTGGCATGGTTCCGCTACGTAGACGATACTTTTACCCTGTTTGAAGGTAATAAAGTTGATTTAAATAAAGTTCTTTCAACAATGAATTCTATTGATCCTGCTATTCAGTTCACTTTTGAACTTGAGACTTGCAATTCTCTTCCGTTTCTCGACATTCTCGTCACACGTAACACATCCAACTTCAGTACTACAGTTTACCGTAAACCTTCATCGGTTTGCCTTCCACCACGCTTTAAATCATGTCATCCGACTAAACAAAAGTTAGCTTCATTTTATTCCTATGTTTTCCGTGCTCTTCAAGTTTGCTCCTCCAAACTAGCCCTTGATGAAGAACTAAATTATTTAAAAGCTATAGCTATTGACAGGGGCTTTTCACCCAACATTATTAATCAAGCAGTTAAAAAATTCTCATCTCACACACTAAAAGGCACACTCTTTGTTTTAGGGGATTATAAAAATTTGTTGTCATTCCCTTCTTTCCATCAATTAGCTATAAAGGTGCACATATTTTGCAGAAATTTAACTTTCGGGTTCTTAATTCTCCCATCAATAAAATTCCGAGTTCCATACTCAAGGAACATGAGGCATATGTTAGAAAAAAGGAAACATAAAAGTCTTCTGTTGCTCAACATTGTTGGTTTGAAAATCACACTTTCAATTTTTCTGCTGCCAAAATTATTCTAGAGGCATTTCACATTCAAAAAAATCTTTCTGTTCTAGTTAACGATCCTAATTCCAATCCATCTTTGCCTTCGGCCTTTAAAGAAATTATGTTTTAGTTCTGGTTTCACTAACAGATGGCGCCACTTGCTTATTCTTGTCCAGGCTTTCTTATCTTATCTAATCATTATTCCTATCTTGTTCATTTGCGGTTTAGCAGCTGAGGATGGTGGTTCGGTAAAACCATCGAAACTAGTCCTGTGAAAATTTTGAAAATATAACGCTGATTTTTGTTGTTTGACTTCGGAATTAGTATTTATTCGGTGTGTTATTGTGTCTTAATTAGTAACTATTTAAAGTTAATTCATTATTTAAAACTATAT